CTGTTGGTGGATGAGCTTGTTGCCCTAAAATACAGGCTCACCGTCATCCTCAACCAGGAATCAAGGATCGTGGAAGTTCTGGGAAACCCAGAAAAATGGCAGGAGCTTCCGAAGTGCCAACAAATCCGCAAAGCTAAACCTGCTCGGATTAGTCACTAGATCAATTCCATACCCTGGATCAGGGTATGATTAGATCAGACCTAGCTTTCATATATATTCATTTATATTCATTTATAACATTTTTTTTACATTATTGTTTCATATATATCCTTTTATTTGTGTTTTTTTGTATTTTTTTGTTTTTGTTTGTTGGCATTTGTTTTTTCATGTGTTTTTTCAGTTTTAGTTTATTTCAATTTGTTTTTGTTTTTTGTTTAATTTTGGTTTATCAGTTTTTGAACTACTACTCATCAGACTTTCTTGCCTAAAATACAACAGACACAATTGACTACAGCAGGCACAGGAGACAAAGCATCGTGTCCAGGCTGAACCTAGGCCAATCACAAACAATGAATCATCAATGAATCAGCGAAGCAAAACAATTTGATCTGGGTTTGCACTCTAAAACATGTTACGCCAGCTGACAACCATGATTAGTAGGGATCAGGCAAATCAGTTGTGCCAGTAGACCTCAGAAAATCAGGTCGCAAAAAAAAAAAACGGTTTCCAGGTCTTGAAAAAATCATGTCATCATCAATGATGCACAACTAATGAACAACTCACTGTCACAGTCGTTTTAAACCGCATAGGTGCAGCACTCACAAGAGTCAGTCAGTGTGTGAAAATGTCTTGCCAGCTGCTATCCAATCTAACAGTCAGTGAGTCAGTCAGTGAGTCCTGGGTCAAATTACAGCAGACCATCCACACAATGACTATTTTTTATTAATAGCAGACAGCAAGGCACACACAAGACTTGATTAGACACTGCCCCACTCATCTCGGCAAATGCGAGCTACAGCTCTGCCGAAGGAGCGTGTGTAAACTTGCGACAAAACTAAATTGTCCTTGTTTCCAGTGAAAGCATCGCCGTCTCTACGCACAAGTAATTCACCTCCACCAGCTGCCGGTCGTGGGCATTCCAAATCTGTGATCCTTGCCCAATTGGACCAAAGTTGAAGCTGTTTCATCGAGGAGCCACCAAATTGTCCCATGTATGTGGTGTGCTTCTGGGCTTGGCAGAAATACAGCACTGTAGACATTGATGGCATGTTGGGCAGGCAGCTGGAGTGTGGCTGCTCCAGGACGACCCAAATGGAGAGACAATGGGCAACAAACATCAACATCGCACTCAACTCTCCCAACGCGTTTCCTATGGAAACAAATCCTCTCGACTCATCACCTAACCACGAGTTGAAGGCGTTTCTCAATGATTGGGCTCTACATAAGACTACAAAAGACGAGCAAGGTGTCCCAAGCCACAGCAGAGCATGACGTCGAAGTGCAGTCAAGCAGTTGAGGACAAGTTCGAACCCAGAAGAGTCTAGCAAGTTGTGGTCAGCTGTATACTCACTGTCGAAGGCCGACCCTTTAAAGCCAGCTCGAAGCAGCTCCCGTGTGAGGTTTCCCACTCCTGAAAAGCATTCACAGAAATGATGCAATTCAGAGTTGCTCATTTGGTTCCGGTAGCCTCGCATGATCAACTTGAGCAGCATCATCTCAAGGGTCTGCCCAGGTGCTCGTTCACCAAAACATTGGTGAAGAATCCTTGTCCACAGCCGAGCAGCTCTTCCACCAGCCATGGCTGCATCACACTGAAGAAACCTTTCGATCATCTTGCTGAAGTTCTGGACAATGTCAAACTCAATGGGCAAGAGTCTCCTGTCATGGCTAAATCATTGACTAGCAAGAACAATGAAAATTAAAATGGTGTGATATTAACTTATTATTAACAAGTTACAGTAGGGCCCATATCATTAAATCAGTAGCATGCAACTAATCAGAAAACAAACTTGAATTTGGCCACCAATCCCCACCTCGGCAACTCTGACAAAGCTGAAAAGTATGACAGATCTCGGCAGCAAGCGTCCTTGAATTTTTCATCAACTGGATCTTTTTGTTCTTGCAAATATTGTCTTGGCCTCTGCTGAATCTCAGACCCAGTCTCCACGACAACAGACGAAGTCTCAGGAAGACGACATTGATTCGGTCGCCTCAGCATCTGAACCTTGATTGTCTTCTTCTTTGTGCGAGACTTCTTTGTCGATGCCATCATCATCATTTGGTGCCAAAGGCTTAAAGTCATCAGAGTCATTGGAAACCAGCAGGGGGCAGGAGTCATGAGCATTGGGGAGCGCTTCATGGCGATTCACTGACGGGACACCAGGATACAGTAGACTGAAAATCTCATCGAGTGAAGTTTGTCAGTTTTAGTATAGTCATGATGTGTAGTAGTCCAATTGCGTATGAATGAATTGGTGCATATTGATGATTAGCTTTCACATGACTCATTCATGTCATTTGATGTACCAGTCAATGGACGGCTGCGAGACATTTCAGGATCCAAGGTGTGTCCAGTAAATCCTCTCAGAGTCTCAGAGAATCTCAGGTTGACTGATCGAAATATCAGTGATTCATGTAAAAAGCTTGAGACCAACAAACGGCTGACTTCTTTTTTCCAGTCTTGTTGGCGTGCGACGTTTGGCTGCAAAACTTGTCTGTACAACAGACAGGACAGTGGCACTGAGTCTTGGACTTCAGTATCTCTTCTTTGGAGGCATCCTTTCAAATTGAGGTCTGAGATTTTCAATCAGCTGTGGAACAAGAACACCTCCCTGTTGCTCCACTTGCCCTTCACAAAGTTTCAACTGGTCCCTAAAGGGCCTCATGGAGTCATGGTCTTTGATTTTTTTCCACGTTCTCCATGCATGCTCATGCACGAGCTCCAACTTGAGCTTCCAATCCGCTTCATTCTTGTAGTCGAACGACTTGGACCAGGAAGAGAGGCCAAATGCTTTTGGCCACTTCTCTGTCCAGCGGTGATCATTGCCTGAAATGGCAACCAAACATTTGACTTTTGTCTACTGTAGTCTAGTGTGAATCTGTTGTATAATGTATTCATTGCCTGTTGACTGTTGTATTGTCCATATTCATAAATTGTCTGTTGTATTCATAAACCATCTAGCATGTAATTAATAGCAGTGGTAATTTACCAGTTTGAGTCTGCTGTGTCATTAAATTGCATGTCTGCTGTAGGAAAAAAGTCAAACCAAGTCAAGTGTGTGTCATGACGAGTTGTTTGTCTGATGTAAGTGGTCATACTTGAATGCATAAATAAAAAGTCAGTCAAGGTCAATTTTAGTGAGAGCCAAGTTGCAATTCAGGTGGATTGAACAGCTGGGCGGCGTAATCAAATGGAGTTCATCAGGGGTTCGGTGAACGTTTGGCCCTCGTGCTGATGAAGCGGCATCAGCGGCAGGAGTCTCACTGGGAGCATCTGGCCCGGGCTCCGGTGCAACAGCAGATTGAGACATAGCATCTGCATTTTCACTGGCCACTGCTGGCACAACAGCAGCAGGCTCACTCTCAGCAGTGAAGAGGTCAAGCGAACCAAGTTGACTACAGCAGACTACAGAGACATCATCACTTGCAGCAGCTGCTGCATCACTGAACTGCATTGGCATTTCAACATCGGCCGGGGAGGGCACTGGATCGACATTAGGAGGATCGATTTCCATGTTAGCATCGTCGTCGTTGTCAATCTTGGGTGTAGCTGGAGCAGCACTGTCACCTTGATGAACTTGTTGAGATCCCATTGGCGATGCTTGATCAGAGTCAACACCATTGAAGCTTAACCTCCTTCGGAGGGCAGAATTCTCAGACTGGGCCGCTCTACCTTTACCTCTTCCTTTTCTGCATCCTTTCCCTTTGCCTTTTCCACGTCCAAGGGGCAATCGACCTTTTCCACGTCCACCACGGCCCTTGCCCTTGCCCTTTGCCTTTTTTCGTTCATTGGCCTGCAGGGAAATGAAGTTTGAGTCTAAGTGAGAGCGACTTAAATCAACAATTTATTCAAGAAATCAACTAACCCAGCCTCTTTTCTCCACTGCTGCCATTTCGATGCAACTGCGTCTTTCTCTTTCTTCTTCATCGAAACTCGAACGTCATCCCATTCAGCTGCCTCGTCCTTGTCCATTGCCTCCAGGACAATGCCAGCAAGGTCATCAAAGTCAGTTTGGTCAAGTTTCCTTTTCTTTCTACAACAGACAGACTCCAAGACTTCCTCAGCAAATTCTCGGCCCCCAACTTCAGTCGCCAGGGCTTTCAGAAGATCATGCCGAGTCATGGATCTGGTTCGGGACATGCCAAATGCATTCTTGGCCAGGAACTCGAGGTCACGGAAAAGCAGAGCCTCAGAAGACTGCTTGAGCAGAACCTTCAAAGCCGACCCCCATTCGCTAATCAAAATGCCGATGCCAACACCAGGTAAGAATGATGGTTCCAAAATCCCCGCTTCCAAATTCTCGACATTGGTCACAAATTTCCAGTACAGTCTTCCGGCTGGATCCAGAATGTAGTAACCATCATCTTGAACCGGTTGGAGTGGCCATGCCAGAATTGCCCATCGAAGGTTCGACACACAGGCAAAAACAACATCAGGCTCATCTGCGGCCTTGAATGCCATCCCTGGCTGCAAGGTGATGCACATCCGAGCATCCTTGGTCGGTGTGGATTGGATTTCCCCAACAAAACCAAAACAAAACAAAACAACTAAGTCAGGTAAGTCGTCCTCAGACAAATAACCAAAACAAAACGACTAACAACAAAATCTGACTGACTCAAAAAATTGAGAATCTCTCAACTTGATGCCTTTGCTTTTGAAGTCCTTGGAGATGTACTCCCGCATCCATGCCCATGCCGAACTGGACAAACTCAAGGCTTCTTCACTGATTGTCCGCCAAGACTTTTTGCCAAGCATTCGTGAAAAGTACTTTGGGAGCTTCACCACTCCAGAGTCCAGTGAAACCTTGAAGTTGAAGTTGTTTGGAGTGACCTTCCAACGTTCAAGAAGACTCTTTGTCTAATCTGGCTGGATGTGGGATTTGTCGGGCTTCGAGTTGTCCCGAAGTCTGCACAAGCCCTTGCAATTCCCTTGGGAGAAGTCTGCTGTTGGGATTGGCCATGGCTTCAGTCCGAAGACGTTGATGAACATCTTCCACCACCTTCGTATCTGGCAATCTGTACAACAGACTCTTCAAGACTGACAAAGACTCTTCTTTTCGGCCACACTCCATCAGCTGAAAGGCCAATCTCAGAGGTTTTGAAATGCTATCACGCATGTCGGCTGCAAGCTCTTGGGGCGCTTGGCCAGGCGAAGCTTCCAGCAGCCTCAACGCACGCCAATCGGCAATCATGAAGTCCATGGATTCTTGAGCACATTCAGGATCATCACCAATGGCCGGTGCATAGGCCTCAGGACCTGAAGCATGCTTCGACATAGTTCTTCCTCGGAAGTTCAAAATCTGCATGATGTATGCCCATAAGCACGACACAAATCCAGCGAGATGCTGGTCAGCTGCTTCCTCACCCAGAAATCGAACAGACAAGGCAGCATATGCTCTGACTTTTTCGAACTCTGCTTCTTGGACAAGGACACGAACCAGCTGACTGAATTGCTCGGCCTGCATCCAGCCATTCCCAGACCAAAGCAAGTTTCTTTGAAAACCTTGTGAAGCATCTTTGACTGTCTTGACTGATTCAGTGTAGAACGTCCAAAGTGGTTGGTCAGCCAGCTTGATGGCAGTGATGCCATACCACGTTTTCCAGCTGCAGCACTGGAGAACTAGCCGCAGCCCCCCAACGGAATCGCCACCTGATCTCATCTCCTTGAAACTCTTTTGGTTCTGATCAGGGTCAGTCTCATTGGGAAACCCAAACTCCAGGAGCATTCTGGTCGACCAAAACTCATGATACTGGCTTTCGCATCCATTGTGCCAGCTGAACCAGCGTCCTGTTTTCACAACGCCCTTCTTGATTCGGTAGGAATCCAGCTGAGTTGCCAATGAACTGAAAAGAACTTCCATATCGTCATTGGTGCGAAACGTGAAGTCAAAGTCCATGGCAATCAGTTCAGCATACCGCAGGAACAAGTCGGATTCCTGCCGAAGGTTTGAACGAAACACTGACTAAGAATATCTAAGAATATAATACTGGCTTGAAACTTTATTTTGTTTATTTTTTTAACCAAAGTATTTTAAACATTTCGACGATATAATGAACCACACAGTCCTGGGTTTCCGTTTCCATGAACGTGTTCAGAAGGCTTTTTTTCTCATCGTGAAAGCCAGCTGTTTTGAAGGGCTTGTAGTTGATGCTGAACATGTAACTTCCACACAACTGCCCTTGTTGAAGTTGAAGCTTGACATCAGGAGGGCAATTTGTAGTTGCCAACTTGAGGTCTCTCACCAGTCTATGGTATGGGTCCCAATAGAAGTGAGTCATTGCAGCTCCAGTCTCCATCAAGAATGCTGCGCATGCCATTCCGACGGTGCCCTGGTCCATCCCAATCACAAGCATGGGCAACTTTGCCAGAGACAGCAGACTTACAGCAGACTCTTCTTCACCATTTTTTTTCACATTTCTCACAAAATGTCCAGTAACAACTCGGGTCGCATCAAGCGGCACTGGTTCAAGGGCAGCTTTCATTTCCTCGGGGGCCAGAAAGCTGGTCAAAGTGAGTGTGTGGTCGGTGAGCAACTGGATCTGGTGCGACAGTGCTTGGAACATCCGGTATGCTGCCATACGCAAACGGCTCCCTTCTGCCAAAAGACGTTCCACAGTCGAGTCACACTCGATTTCCCCTGGGGAGACAAATTTCGAGGACCTCAACGATTGTGTTGGTGGATAGCAGCCAATGTCGTTGTGTCGGCTGTAGGCAACACTCACCAAGCACTCATAGACACCATGCCTGCTAGCATCACAGACCATGTTCAGGTGCCGGACATCTTTGAAGCCCAGAGTGGCACGTCGGCTGTGCATTCGCATGATCTTCTTCAGCCAATGGCTTGATGTATTTTGGCAAGCACCACCCTCTGCATCATTTTGTCTCGATCTCACCAGCATGGACAGGCTTAGCCCATTGATCTCCACTGAATCATTGTAAAGCTTCCAGATAAAGTTCAGATCTATCTGGGTTCTGCCCTTCCTCGGCTTGGGACCTTGTTCATTTTCATCACCACCTTCTTGATCCATGATCGGATCAGCATCTTGTTGTTGGTCCTCAGTCAGTCAGTTGTCTGACAGGAGCTGAAAGCCCAGTTTTTGCATTCAAGAGGGGAAACGACAAAACACAATCAAACAAAACAACAAAATATTCTTCAAAAAGTGAAATCGAGGGTCGCGACTTGCAAGGCGTTTCCGGCGGGATGGAATGAGACGGTTTTCAATGCCATCCACAGTTTGTTGAAGGTGACGGGAATGAAGAGAGACAGACGCTGCCAAAAACTTGATCACAGCCCACAATGCCTGGCTCCACACCTGAGTCATCCCAGCTGACCAGGCCTTCTTTTTAAGATGTCTCCTGAAACGTCGCACAGTTGCCAAGAACAACACAACGTCTATCATGGTTGCCTGACGAAAAGGAGTCCTCAGTCTGTTGTCCTCCTTCATGTCACCCCAGGCCAAATCCATTGCATCCTTCATGGACTTATGACATTGGAGGCACTCATAGACATTGCATACACCAGACGCATCGAATGTCAGCCGGGAACCATCCTCCATGTAGCAGTGTCCACCACCTTGATGCAGCACTTGAAGACTGTTCAATGCAATCTTCTTCAAGAAGGTAACAGCGATTGCAGATCTATCGTCTATCCTGGAATTTTCTGCCATATTGACAAGGCTGTGGACAAGTCCTCCAGAGGAAACTGCACTTGCATCCAGCATATTTGCACCCAACCTGATTCAAAGGACATCATTATTATATCATACGGCTGGCAGTGTTTGAATTGACAAAAAAACAACACACAAAAAAAAAAACAGTTTGACTGACCCCTGTTCCCCAGCCTGTCAATGCCAGGTTTCATGTACATGGAAACTCCAAGATGTCTGACAACTTCACTGTCATTCAGCTTCTTCCCAATAATCTGACAGAATTTCGGGAAGGGTTCCAACTGAAGTTCGTCTGGAAGTAGCCCACATAGGTTGTCATGTAAGTGACCAAGGCTCCAATAGAACTCCCCGTCGTGTGCATATGCAACAGCAGTTGGGAGCATTTCTGCCAACTCTGAAAAGTAGTAAGCCGGAGCTGTGGCAGGCAATCTGATGCCAGCATCTTCATCCGCCATGGCTTAGCCAGAAAAGGATGATTGATGTTGGAAACAAACAAAAACATGTCTTGAATTTGACACATTCTGGAACCTCCATCAGTGACTTCCAAACAAAATCTGACATTGACATTCTCTGATGCGACATCCTCTGTTGGTAAGTATATACAAAAGACGACGACGACGATGCTAGATCCAAAATTCAGCAAACACCACATAGGACTGACACATCACTGAAACCACAAGAGAAACTACTCTGCAGCAGCATCCTTGAACGAGCTGAGCTGTTGGTAAATTCACTGCCGCAAACGATTGGCCACAAATGTCTTTTTCGTCTCATCCAAAGTCCCTGCTCTAGCACAGTAATGAGGCAATCAATCCTCACCACTGACATTAGACAGGACATCAGACACACAGGCAGGGCATTTCCACTGAAGACAAAAGACGATCGAACCACTTGACAATCGTCTCACTAATTAATTTGATAAACTGTCACATTTCCAAAAACCTCACACAGCAAGGCCATGCTGGCTCATCTTCACACAGGTGCTACTAAGCCATCCCTTCAGCTACTCCCCAAAACGAGCTAAACTTCAGGCACACTCCTGTCACCTTGAGACAGACGGCATGGGCGCACTCACTCAAAGGTGTTCTGGGCCACCTCTTCTTCTGCAGCTGCCAGTACAGCAGACTCGACCGGCTCAGGAAGATCACCTTGCTCTGGCAGAGCGTCATCACCATTCCTGATTGAAGTCAAAACACTTTGCAATGTCTGGCACAAGTCAAGTCAAAAGTCAAGATTTGGCAAACACATGAATCGTGAGAAGTCTTCTGTATGTCAATGATGTCTTTTGTATGTCTCTGAATACTCAAAAACATGTGCAGCTTGAAGATGAATCAAACATCCAGAGTAAACCCCATATAAATATATAAAAAACTATTCAGCTGTTTATCAAGGCTCATCGGGTCAGGAGCCTCCACGTTCACTGGGCGACAGCGGTGAGGGCAATCATTTGGGCCCTTATTCGCACACACCCGCCACTCGCTCAAGCACTGCTGGTGAAATGTGTGCGTACACCAAAGTGCCTCACGAACCTCATCATGCCCCATCACCGACTGGCAAATCACACACAGCACACCTGCTTCTGGCTGTGATGGCATTGCAGCTGCAGCAGCCTTTGCAGCAGGAGTCGGAAGGATTTGTCCTTCAGGAGACAAGATCGGCCGAGGAGGCGGTGGCACAGGGGCAGTCTTGGCCACAGGATTGGAGACACCAGACGACATCAAACCGACCTGGGTCCAACCAGCATCATTGATTCACATTGTCACATGGTCAGATTCAATTCATGATGCAACAAAACTAAAACCATTGACAATCCAAACACCAACAACAAAACTAACAACAAAAGAGCTAAATAGTATTCCAAAACCAACTCCAAGAAACAGGAGAGCCAGACTTCGGGCTGATCGAAGCACGAGGAGGCGGTGTCATCATGGTGGGTCCCAGCGGAGGTGGCATCAAAGGGTTCATCAAAGGACTTGGCATTGGAGAGGCACCAGATCCTGCAAACATGGCTGCCAAATCGCCAGACTTGGGAGGTGGAGCTTTTGGACGTCTCTTGCTCGTGTTGAACCAGGAGTCAGACCATCCCATATCGCCAGCGATGGACTGCAAAGTCTCATCAGTGAGAACAAGTCCAAAGCGGTTGGTCACCTGGGCCTGGAAGACTTCAGCAGTGACCGCATCCTTGATCCTGCGGTGAGAGGACACCATCCTTTGAGTGAACTCTTTGTAGGTAGTCACACCTCAGCAGGCTGACTCACACAACAGAGGCAATTAATCATCATTGGATGACTTGACATACACTAATAAATAAGCAACAGTGAGTGAGAGCAAACACAATCACTAACACTCTGACCTAACACAATCTAGATTTCCCACAACACTTTAACTAACGACGAAGTTGCTGATTCTGAATCATGTCTGCTGTAGTCATGGAAATAAATCAGCTCTAACACTCACACTGTCAAGTCAAAAACTCAACAAAGTTGAACTCCACTCTGCCAAGAAACGGAGGTCACTGATTTTTACACACGGCTTTATGCGGCAGAAGAGCCAAAGCAACATCAGCAAGCCATCCTGTGTGAGCTCAGCCGTGACCGCCGCATCAAGCTCTGCCCCCGAAAGCGTCTCCAAAGTCTCCCCCAGGCGGTTGCGGGGCAATTGCCGGACATAGGTCACAGACCTGCTGATGAGGCCTGAGTCCTGGGGAGCTGCCAAGGCTGCAGTGGCAGTGGGGTCATTCTCCACTACAGCAGACATTGCAGCAGACGACGATACAACAGATGACGACCCGACACCAGACACTGCAGCAGGCGCAGCCTTTGCCAGAGGTGGCACAGCCTGTTCCTCTTCATCTGATTCCTCGGCACCATGGTGTGGCATCGTCATCGGAGGCATCATCATCCCTCCCATCATTCCTGGCATCATGCCATTCATCATTCCCGGCATCATGTGTGGAAGCATCATCATTGGGTTGGCTCCACGGGCTTTCTTGTTGGCTCTCAAGGTGGACACGGCGACCATTGCAAACAAAACAGTTCGAAGGCGGTACACCAGACAAGAGAGTGAGACAGTGAGAGGACAAACGACTGCAGCAAATATTTATATATATATATATGTTACATGCTTTTCACAAGGCAATCAACAAAATCATAAGGCAAAATCAAGCGACTGCTACACAAGACAATCAATGAGTGAAACTGTGAGAGAACAAGCAAATACATCAGCAAGATCATGAATTTCACAAGATAATCAATGCTCACAAAGCCACCAGTGACTGCTACACAAGACTACAACACTGAGTGAAACATGTTTTCTGCATCAGCAAGACATGTTTTCATTTGTTTTTCATGTGTTTTTGATTTTTTTTTTGAGATTGTTTGAGATTTTTTGAGCTTTGTGGGGGGTTTCCTTCAATAGTAAATTTAAAGGTTTGAGATTTTTTGAGATTTTTTGAGATTTTTTGAGATTTTTTGAGCTTTTTGGGGGCTGCCTAGCAATAGTAAATTTAAAGGCTTGAGATTTTTTGAGATTTTTTGAGATTTTTTGAGATTTTTTGAGCTTTTTGGGGTGCTTCCTAGCAATAGTAAATTTAAAGGCTTGAGATTTTTTGAGATTTTTTGGGATTTTTTGAGCTTTTTTGAGATTTTTTGAGATTTTTTTGAACTTTTCTGATACTTTTTTTGAGGATTGTGAGCAATAGTAAATTTAAAGACTTGAGTTTTTTTTAATATTTTTGTTTTTTTTTAATTTTTATTTTTATTTTTTGTTTTTTTTATGTGTTTCAAGGTTTTTTCTTTGGATTCCAAGCAACTTTCATTTGCAAAACATTTGTCAATGTTCTTCCCTTTCCTGTGAATTGGCATGCATTGGCTGGCCTTTTTCCATCTACTTGCCTTTGTGCTGATCAATCTTATTAACACAGCGACAATAAACATACAGACACTAGACTCTAGACTAGACAAGTCAGAAGAGTTCTCTGTCTCTCATTCTTGCACTTAATTACTAAAACAGCATGCACCCTCACATGAGCATGCGAAGCCGAATTTATCCAGACTCAGATTCTCTGGACAAAACAGGCACTGGCTGATCAGGCACGGCATCGTTGTTCACCTCGAAGTCTCCCATTCCCAGTTGCTCCTTAATGGCACGGCGACTGTCCAGCATCAGCCTCTCAAATGTTCTCTTGCTCATCGAAGCTCTTTCCCAGTCTCTCACAGCCACGACAAGGTAGGCCAGAATGTCTGGCATGGGAATGTTGTTGGACACACATCGCATCACCAACTGCTTGACAACTCTCTGCCGCTTTGAGATCCTCACCAGAGTCTTGCTACTGTCAATTGGAGGGTAGTCAGCATAGGGAAGCATCTGCTTTACATCAGACGACATCACAGCACAGCCACCCAAGACAACAGCAGACTCGGCCGCAACCGACATGGGATGAAACAGCCAATCACTGACTGAGACGTAATTCACCAGTGATTCACTTTTACTCACTTTGAAGTCAAGTACAGTTTTTGATCATGTCAAGTTCATCAAGAACATTGCAAACAATACTGGAATGCATTAGCATATAATCAATTTAACGAAATGCATGCTAGTCCATTGGTCAGCTGTCTTCTGATTGGGGCTGACAACAGCAGCAGATACAGAAGACAATATTCAGGTGCAAATACAGCAGACAGTCAGGTGCATGACACACTTTCAGCTGCAAATACAGCAGTTGCAGCAGACATTCAGGTGCATGACATCAGTCACACATCTTTTGCCTCTCAGACTGAGGGCAGCACTTTCAACGATGGATGCCTTCCCAAGACCTGGCCAAGCCAACAGAGTCAACTGTGTAAATGCACAATGGACTAGCGCATGCATTTCTTTAAATTGATTATATGCTAATCCAAGCATAACATTCAGCCAGTGAATCAGTTCAGACCACTCAACCAAGATTCATGCACCTCAAAGCCATCAAGTCGTGGGCAGTCCATGGCCTTGGCGATGCTGCTTCAACCAGCCACATGCAACTCCAACAGCACTTCATTCATTATATAGGCATGCATAGGAAAAAACATAATTCATCAAGACAATTCCATACCACGGATCGGTGAGGGTTTGGATCGGTAGGGCTTCCATGTTGTATGTTTGTATCGGTTGTATTATTTGATACAATACACCAAATATTATTAATTGTAATATATAATATAAAATATAATAATTAACTGTTCAGCCTCTGAGTATGTTGCCTCTCATCTTCTAAAAGGACCTGGGCAAAGACAATTTGAAACAAAGTCATGGTGATTAGAGAGAATGCAGTGACACTAGTGGACACACTGAGTTGATAATGATTGATTGTGGATGCTCACGAAAAAGCACACACAGGCTCTGGAGATTTTCTGGCTTTAAGCTATTCCAGGTAACCTTGAATCCCAGAGGCGCCTAGACTGGCGGCAGCTCTGACAAAACATTCCGTGGAGGCTTCACATGGATTTAAAAGAAGCTTTCTCCATTTCCAGGGGAAGAGGATTTTCCCCAGAAGCTTTCCGGAGTCGACTGGACTGGCGGCAGCTGTAACAACAAAAATGTGTGGAGGCTTCACATGGATTTTCCAAGAAGCTTTCTCCAATTCCAGGGAGGAGGAGATAAATGGAGTACATTATCTCCTCTAAATACAGCAGACAGACATCAGCAATATAATTTTGATATTATGATGATGATGGCACGATTTAATTTAGAATCATAACTACAACTACAACAAGAACTAACTAATCAATATTGCATGTACTCCGGTATCTCCTCCCCCTCGAGGTTCTGAGCAATGATGGTCAAGTGTTTTCTCTGTATTGCGTTCCACCGGCCATAGAGGAAGATGTAGCAAATAGGTCCATCATCTGTTTCATCAGAAGACGTTACTGATGCCCCAGCTGTGGCAATGGGTTGTGAGCTGGATGCCAAATCGAAGTCCCGCACTGGATAACCAGATAACCATGACGGCGCATCACCAGTCATCCATGACCCAATCGACGACATCAGACAAACGTCAAAATTGGCAAAATTAATTGAGCCAAAACCGGCTTAGCATGAATGAGCTCTTTGAAATTTGTAAATTGAAACATTATCATTCTGACATGTCTGAAGCAAATCAATAAATCGGCATTTTGATCCTGACAGTGGTTTGATTCCCACTAACTAATAATAGCATCACAAAGAAATTCACCAAGTCAGCTGGTTCTAGGTGGCTGGCCTTGTTAGCTATACTAGCGAAGTAGGGCGGCATTTGAGGCCTTATTAGGGGCCGGCCGTGCACACCATCATGAACAACAAGCATACCATGATTCAATTACAGCAGACAAAAGTTGACAAACTATTATTAAATTATATTAAAATATTGAGTTGCTGCTTCTGTTGCGTCCTGAGGGGCTGACAGTCAAGCACAAATGCAGTGACCTAGGAGCGATCAAAACCTTTACTAATTCAACTATCAATCAATGGCAATGGCATCAGTCAGAAAGATTCAGACTGTGATCACACATACAAAACTATATTTGACAGATTGACTGAGATCTGTGTTCTATCTAATCTAGGCCCACTGCAGCCCGCCATGTGAAGTTGAAGTCCTTCACCATCACAGAGTGCACATGGTTGATTGAGAAGAACTTTGCCAACACCACTAGTGAGTCAGTGTCATTCATGTGGTTTCATGGCTACAACTTGCACAACTGCGCAATATCAGTCAGCTGAAGGAAGAATACTGACGCCTTTTTTGGCCACGGCACGATTGCATCGAATCACTGCAGGACTGTGAACTCCTCCACATCAAAGCTCGCAGCTACTGTCTGCAGGCAGTGCAGGGCATTGACATAAAAGGACACAAGACATCACTGGGCATGGCATTCATTCGAAAGTGGCACAATGATTCAATTACAACAGACATCACTCAGAGTCTGGCGGTCGCCATCGGGATGAAGAAAAGGCCACTCAACACACAGACGATCTGCTGCCCTCCTTGAACGAATCTAAGACAATGCTCTTGCACAATACTAATTAAATAAGTCACACTGTCAAATGTGTCGCAAACAAAGCCAACACTCAAGTCAACACTAAACTCAATTGCTAAGTCTCTTTGTTGGTACTGCTCTGATCCCTGGTCTTCATTCAGGCTGGGAATCACCGAATAGTTCCGGCCGCCAATGGGGATGCAGATTCTGATGGCTGGAGCTTCCTGACAACAGACAGCAAAGACAACAATATACACAGATTCTTACTTTGTTTGTCAAAAGTTGTGTATGAACAATGTCGTGTGTGTTTAGTAGTGTCTATTTATTACATTTAATTAATCATTCACACCCAGTTGCCTGTTCACAACCAATGCAAAACATCACATCGAAATTCACTGTGCAGTGTCTGTTGTAAGTCCAGCCTTGTTTAAGAAATGCAAAGTCTGATGTAAGTCCTTGCCCTCAGCCATGCAGTGCGCCATCCATTTCTGCGTGTGCCTTTCCATTTCGTAATAGCAGAACCTGACAATGGGATACAATGAGAGTCAAATAATGCTGGCTGAATCACACTGATTTGTGATGATTGACTTAATATGACATACAGCAGACATACCTGATTATTTTCACCATTGATTGACCAAGAAATCCAGGGCCCACACTTCAGGGCAGGGTGGGCTCCCAGCTTGAGCACCTCGTCCATTGTGACTTTGCGTCCGCCATCCATCCTGCCAAATCAATCGAATTAAAACATAACTGACAACATTGCTGCTATACCTGACACTTGAGCTACAATATTAATGAGAGTGATGATATGTCAGTGCTGGATTCAATAACACTCTTTCGGATGAACCACTGGACCTGAGCTGCAGACTCGATAAAGGGCTCTGGGAATGGGATCTTCAGGGATAGTATCCGAAGCAGCTTTCTGGTCCTGGGCTAAGACATGACATTTGTCCTGAACTTTAAATTCAGTAGGAATGAACCGCACAGACAAATTTTGATTCATCACAACATTAAAAACAATTTAAACCGAGAAGCTGGTCGAATGCCTCTTCATCGGACAACCAGTCCAAGTACTTGGACATCAGCTCTTGACCCTTGATTGCCCCGGCCACAGGTGTCAGGCCGTTAGAGACAGCAAGCCCCGCCATGAAGACAGTACAGCAGATGATGCAAGTCGTACAGCAGACAGCAAAGACACCTTGAACCCATAGCATAAATTAAGGCAACCTGGACTCGCCAACAGTCAAACTGTGCCAAACCCCTGTCAGTGCATCCAGCAAACATTGAATGAACGAACACAATCATCAACAGAAGTAACAGTCCTTGTCATTGTCGCCTGTCATCGTAGCTCATGTGGCAAAAGCCTGCGCCGTGCAGGACACTTCAGTGAGTGATCAGGCCAACACAAATGACTCAGAAGTACAGCACAAGTCCAAACGAATACAGCAGACAACATCATATAAATAATCATCTAACTTGTAACATCTAAGAAGCACTTATTGACCAATGTCGGTGTGTCACAACGAACACAACTACAGCAGACTGATTCCCGATGCCTGCCAACACCTTAAAAGAGAAACTATACTGCCAATGCAGCGACAGTGATGCTGACAAGACTGCTCAGCTATTGACGATCAACAAATCTGAGCCATCCGCTCACACACCAGTTCCAATTTGGAGCCTCAGCAGTTGGAGTTTGTATCTTAGAGTCACTTACAATCTTTTTTGGCAAGACACTTGAAACTGATTTCCTTGTGTCGTTTCAGTCTAGACTCAAAACTCAAAACAATTCAAGACCATATTTTTTTAATTTTAAATATTAATGACCCTCAACAGCTTTTGATTTGATCTTGAGCTTGCTGCCATGCCAAAGTCGAAGAGTCAACTCCTGAGCAATGGCTAGGATAGAGCTGTGATGTGGTCATCCTTCACTAACCTCTCAAGGATCCAAAAACCAGAGAAAACCAAACTGTTCAAAACAGACACTGAGTTTCATTCATGTTTGTCATTCATTCAAATTCACACAGTTACTTCCAGTGGCCGAGAAAAAAACTGCCATCAAATCTAATGCAAGTCTTGACCCGACTGAGCACCAGTCCATGTAATATCCAATAGCATTGGCCTGCCATGAAGGGACAATAGACGCTTGTACAGAAACAAACTTGTGATCAGAACATCTGTAGACTACACTGCCCAGCATCACAATCAATCACAATACGACTAAAGAACTAGGGGCTTGTTCAATCAGACCTTCAACCTCAGAACCAATCAGTCAGCTTAATCAAATCACACACAGTTTCCCAGCCGCTTGTGCCCCTTTTTTTTCATACACCAGACATCACCAGACTGGTTGGGACTATTTCTCCCGTTCACGTTTTCGTTTGTGGAGCTCTGGGAATTCACCACCTGAGATGACACATGGAGACATCAAGTGGTTGTCAG